CTGAACCAACTGCTGAAACCTCCTTAGCTTGACGAAGGGTTTTTGAACTCAAAAGCTTGCTTAATAACTATTCTCCAACTATTCGGGTTGGTCTAATAAAAGATATCAAATTCACCCAAGGAACCTTGTCTGCCACAAGTAAGAGCTGGCATTTTCCAAAGGGGGCATAGAATATATCAAGAGGTTCTTTGAGATGGTGGGGGGCAAGGGGAGAAGTCTTGAGTCCACTTGCTGCCACATACGCGTGGGCCCCAAAACATACCTGCCAGCCCTCAGGCCATTCAAGTGCCCAAAACTCATCTCCCTCATTAGCGGTTTTATCATTGGGTCAGGGACACAATTGGAGAAGACAGATGAATTGCTGTCTTACATGCTGTGGAACTAGCTTTTTTACTCCCACCGGTGCTCTGACAAAAGAGCAGGATGATGGGAAGCTTCCTTGATAGGCTTCAGTGGCTGAGCCAGAAGGAGAAGGCCCGGGGGTCACGTGAGTTTCTTTTCCCGGAGTGGGGAAACCAGTAGTGTCTGGTAGAGGTGCACAGAGGTACAGTGATGACCTGATCCCAGTTGGGGGTCAGAGTATTATGCAGGGGAGATCTGAAACTGGTGAGACTTACCTGAGGTGATATCTGGCAGAAGAGTTTCACTGTCCAGTGAATGTGGCATTTTTGGAGATTTACCTAGATGGGGAAGGAGAAGCAGAGAATCAGCTAAGGCGATCTGCCCAGGAAGATGTGGTTTCCTCTCCAGCAGGGACAAAATAGCAGGACTGAGCCAGGGGGCTGTGTTAGCTGTCTTACCTGCTAAAGAACTGGCCTTTTTACTCCCACCGCTGCTCTGACAAAAGAGCAGGGTTATGGGAAGCTGCCTTGAGAGGCTTCGGTGGCTGAGCCAGAAGGAAAAGGCCAGCGGGTCATGTGAGTTTGTTTTCCCAGAATGGGGAAACCAGTAGTGTCTGGTAGAGGTGCACAGAGGTACAGTGCTGACCTGTTCCCAGTCGGGGGTCAGAGGATAATGCAGAGGAGATCTGAAAGCGACTTACCTGAGGTGAGGTCTATCACAGAAGTGTCACTGTCCGGTGAATGTGACATTTCTTGAGATTTACCTAGAAGGGGAAGGAGAAGAAGAGAATTGGCTAATGGGATCTGCCCCGGGAAGACAGGGTTTCCTCTCCAGCGGGGACAAAATAGCAGGACTGAGCCAAGGGGCTGTGTTACCTGTCTTACATGCTGCAGAACTGACATTTTTACTCCCACCGCTGCTCTGACAAAAGCGCAGGATGATGGAAAGCTGCCTTGATAGGCTTCAGTGGCTGAGCCGGAAGGAAAAGGCCTGGGGGTCATGTGAGTTTGTTTTTCCGGGGAGGGGAAACTGGTAGGGGCTCATGCAGCTGCATGGGGGTGCAAGGATGACCCGACCCCAGTCAGAGATCAGAGGATCGCACAGAGGAGATCTGAGAGTGATGAGACTTACCCAAGGTGACATCTGGCACAAGAGTGTCACAATCTGGTGAATGCGGCGTTTCAGGAGCATTACCTAGAAGGGGAAGGAGAAGCAAAGAATTAGCTAGGGGATCTGCCGCAGGAAGATGGGGTTCTCTCTCCAGTGGGGACAATATACCAGGACTGAGCCAGTTAGATTGGCTATGTTTTATTGTCATGCTCATGCAAGTTAATATGGAATAGTACTGGGACTCCAGTGTTTAATTCAGGCTTGTCCAACATATGGCCTGTGGGCCGCCATGCGGCCCACTAAGCCATTTTATCTGGCCTGCAGCAGTGGCATTAGTGTGCAGGGCTGCAGCAGCGGTGGTGTGTGGGGCCGCGGTGGAGCATGGAGCCGTGGCTGCGGTGGTGGAGCGTGGAGCCGTGTTAGCGGTAGTGGAGCACGGGGCCACAGCGGCGGTGGCAGCGCCGGCAGAGACACGGTGGCAGAGTGTGGAGCTGTGGTGGGGCCGTTGCAGAGCATGGAGCCACGGTGGTGGCGGCGGACTGTGGAGCTGTGGTGGTGGTCATGGAGCGCAGAGCCGTGGCGGGGGATTGTGGAGCTGTGGCGGCAGTGGTGGCAGCACTGGTGGAGCTGCGGTGGCAGTGTAAGGAGCTGTGGCAGCAGCAGCAGGGCCACTGCAGAGCGCAGATCTATGGTGGCGGCAGTGGGGCAGCAACAGCTGGGCAGCAGCGAGGCGAGCAGGGCTGGGCTGTGGGGCCCAGCTGGCATCAAGGGAAGGGGAGCTGCTTACCCCCACGGGGCCTGGCTCATCAGTGAGCCAGGTCCTGCTGCAGCTGCCACAAGGGCTGCACAGAGCAGGGCTGCTCCAGTTATGCCCGATTGGACGAGCTGGGGACGGGCTCCGCCCCTTGCCCTGGCATGTGGCTGGGGGAGCTGCGGCATGGCCTGCACCCTGCCCACATGTGTGGTGGATGGAGGCATGGGGTAAGTTCCCATGTGGAGCAGACCCATTTCATTGTCACTTCCTGCAACTTCATTGGTGTCAAAAGTCACATGACATCATTTCCTGATGTGATGTCACTTCCTGTGAGGTTTTGAATATGGCTCACTGGCCCACTGGGTGATAAAAAGTTTGTGATCCGGCCCCACAGTCAAAAAGGTTGAACAGCCCTGGTTTAATTCAATGCCAACTGTGTGGTATACACGAGCATAACCAGAGAACAAATTTACTCTGAAATTAAAAAGGGTGCATAGAACGAAGGATGGATCAAAATGGGGCCTCTTAGTATATCAGTTCAATTAAAGAAATGAAAACCAACAGATCCACCTCCTGATATTTATTAATTCTTTCAGTTTTCTTCAACATCATGTGTGTACTAGGCAAGTACCAAAACAGTAAGAAAGTCCTGGCCAAATTTTATGAACACATTTCCTATGTGGGCACCACAATTTTACAATCACATTGCTAAATGGTTGAACACGCCCGGTTACACACCCCCTCACCTTTGTTTAAATAAATTGGATTGTTCCAGCCTCCACTGCAATTCATGCAGCTTTCAATAGGTTCGCACTGTGCAGCTGCCACGTCCAGGAACACCCCTCTAGCTACTGCCAAAGGGCTGTTCTTGGGGCATCCCCCTTTTGGGGAGGCAGGTCATTAAGCCCTGGTGAGAAACACTTGAAGAGGCATGTCCCTCTCCTCCCTGCAATGGCTGCACCCATGGTAGAGTCAGTGGGCTGTGTCCAGGCATGGCTGTCAGGGTAGCACAGCCCAGGCACATGCAACATGTGGCTCTGCCTCCACCACCTTGAGGCGCTTTCTTTCTGAGCTGAGCACAATATGGCAGTGAAACTGTGGTGCCTCCAGTGACCATCTTACCACTAAAGGCCCCTTCCTCTGCTCGGGGTTTCTTTTCTTCTATCTTGCCCTGAAATATGGGAAATAAACAGTGTTATTTATGTCCTTGATGCTCAGCGTACACAGAAACACACTCATTAGGAAAGGGATCACTAAGCTTTGATGTGTTGCTTAGGTACATCTTTGTTTAAGAGGAAGATCTGAACCATGCACCACTCTGGGGTGTCTGGTGACATGATGGTAGAGTTTTCATTGTTGTTCGGTCCCCGCTTCCCTCCCACCAGGCATTGCTCACTTGTTGCATCCTGCTTTTAATTAGCTCAGGCTGTTTGGTGCAGGGCTTGTCTCCTGTTATGGGTGTGCCCACTGCACAGTGGGGCACCAATCCCGCCTACTCTAATACAGATAATAAAGTGACAGTTCGTTATTGTGCCATAAAATCATCTGCCTGGATGTGATCGGGATGACCATCCCCCCCTGGCCTAAACCCGGTTGCTTCATAACAAATGTGGTCTGTGAAATGAATTGTTGCTTGGTTTCTAAATCCACCACTCTCATAGACTTCAATGGAGAGTGACACAGCCCATCACAATGCAGCATGTCTGCTGCTAATCTTATGGTCCTGTCTGGTGTGTTCTTCCCTAGAGTTTTTTGCACATCTTTAACATCAGGAAGTGGACTGAACTCCAGTTTGCTACAGAGGCACCATCTGCGGCTCTGTAATTCTGGCTGAGCTGTATTTTGTACGTGAAGCTGGAATGTGTCTCCCATTCTTCATACAAAGAAAAAAAAATATCACAAGAAACCTGTACTAGAAGGGACCTCAGGAGGTCACATATAATCCATCCCCCCTGCTCAGTGCAGCACCTTCCTACTCTAAATCTTGCTCAACAAGTGCTCATCTAAGATGTCTGAAACCTGTATGAGTAGCCTCTCACATGGCTACCAGGCACAATATCCATCATATCACAAACTCCCTTTAACTTGCCCCACATAAAAGTCAAGAGTTTGAGGTCACTAGAAGCGTCTTGCCACTGCAAGGACAAGAAGTTGGTTAGAATACATTGGAGAGATCCAGGAGGAAGACCGAGCCCCTTAGATACAAGAATGCAAAACCTGCATGGCCCATGTCTTCCTTTCCACCAGGCTATAGCACAAGGGCAGGCAATTATTTTGGGCAGAGGGCCATCTAATGAGGTTTGGTGAGCTGTTGAGGACTGCATGGGTAGCCCCGCTTCTCAAAGTTTGCCCCTCTTCAGGTCACCATCTTGGGACCAGAAGTCCTACCCCTAAACCCTGACTTTTGCTACCAGAAGTCCCTCAGCTTGGACCAGCAAGGCAATACTCCTTTTGGGAGTGGGGAGTGCTTAGAACCAGGAAAAAAAAACAAAAAACACAACAAAATCATACACTAAAAGCCAAACACCTACTAAAACATTTTAATTTTATTACAGCAATATTTAAATGAGTTGTGTTTGTTTAAAGAACATAAAGGTGATTGCATAATAACTCAAAAATAAATTCTTAGTCTCTTATATTGTGTAGGGGGGGTGTGGTGGGGGGGTGGGGGTCAACATTCCCTGTAATCTGTGTTGTGTGCAGCTGTGCAGGCATACCTGGCAGCATGGTATCAGCACACCTGCACAGCCATACACTCTGCACAGCTTAGAGCGAACGCCGTGTGTGTGCATGTGTGGTGGGGTGTGGGAGGGGGTGCGAGGTGTGTGGGAAATTTGTGAGGGGGTGTGGCATATGTGGGTGCGTGGCCCTGGAACACACTGTCCTCTCCAGCAGTCAATGCAGGCAAGTGTGTGTGTGTGTGTGTGTGTGTGTGTGTGTGTGTGTGTGTGTGTGTGTGGGGAGAGGGGAGGGGGCATTTTTTGGGTGTGAGGGAGAGTTGAAAGGGTGTGGGGACCATGCACACTTGCACACTTCCCCCATGGCACATCAAGGAGTGCATCCCCCTGCCAGGCAGGCTCCATTATCCGCACTCCCTAGCATTTATGAGGCAGGGAAGGGAAGCACCAGGCACTGAAGGTGGCTCCTTTCCCCACCCCAGTCAGCTCCAGTGCCTGGGGAATCTCTCCTGTGCCTGGCACTTCCCTCCCATGCCACGCAAGTATGGAGAGTGTTGGCAATTCAGATGGCTGAGCGGGGCCTGCGTCCCTCCCATGATGTGCAGCGCTGGTCAGAACCAAGCACCAGTACCACCCTACCACTGTTGCTGCCCCTGCTGCCTGGCAGAGCTGTGTGACCTGGGGGTGGGAAGGGTTCCCTAAACTCCTCCACCCTCCCTCACATCCACATCCTGCCCAGCCAAGATCTGCACAGCCCCCACCCCCTGGGTGCGGGCTTTGTACTGCTTCCAGCCCCAGCACCATTTTTCATGCTCCTACCCAGCTGCAGCTGTCACCCCTGTCCCTGCCCTGCCCCCCCCCTCCACTGATTCCCTACCTGCTGCCCAGAGGGAATGGGACACCAGAGAAGCCTGCAACAAATAGTCCCACCTGGTGCTAGCGGGACCAGGTCCTTCCACCCACAAGAGTGGCAGCAAGGCATAATAAGGTATGTTGAGGGCAGATGTAGGCACCTTGCTCCTGCCCTCATAGTTGGAAGGGCTGGGTGGGGTACAATACACTGGGGAGTGATGACGGCCAGATAAAACTGCCTGGTTGGCTGGATCTGGCTCATGGACTGTACTTTGCCAGCCCTGCTATAGCATCTCTCCTGCACAGTGTACACACTGAACTTTCACTGGGGCTCCCAGTAGCTCCACCACTCCCTGCACTATCAGGGTGCCTTCAAATGAGCTGAACAGCTTCACAGGTGAATGTGGGTGCATGGCTGTGTTTCTTTTTCCTTGCCTTGCAGGGCTCTCCAGGGGGCTGGCTGCTTGTGATGACAGGCACCTTATGCTTCTGACCAATCAACAGCTCAGCTCCATCAGAGCACAGGAGGGAATACTCCCCCAGATGTGCCTGTAGGTTGGTGGGGAGGGCACTTTCCTGGAGTGTGGGGTGTGTAAAATAGCCTCCCTGTTGCCTGCAATAGCCTCAAGCTCTGCTTTCCTGTTTTGTCACTACATGCTCTAACTACTAAGCTGTCGGGTAAAAAGGAACAACCAAGCTTAGGTTGGTGTGTGTCTGGGTTTTTTTGTGGTTTTTTTTTGTTTGTTTGTTTTTTTGTGTGTGGTTTTTTTTTTTTACGCTTACCCCCTCTGTTTTTTCCAGGGAGTCGTAGTTGGGCATTTCTTTCCCAAGATGAAAGTCCTTATTGAGGTTTTCCCTGTAAAATGAACAGAATTAGTTAATGTACCTGAAAGTTAAATGCAATTCCCAACCTGAATGTGTTGTGTTTTGTCTGTGCAAGCTACAGGGAGGTTTATTGCTTTGGCACTTGGATTCGTCCCCAGTTGTGGTGAGGAAAAGGACATTCCAAACTGCTGGCATGGGTCAGAGTCAGGCCATACTGGCCAGCACAGACTAACTAACTATATTGTGGGCATAAGGTAAAACTCTGATCAGCTGTGAACGGCAGATTCAACAACAACAACAACAATCTTAGATCCACAGAAGCACATTCAAAGATCTCACAGCAGTTCTTGTATGTGTGTATTTATACAATGCCATAAACATACTAGGCATTTTAATGAAGGATGAGATGCAACGGGGATTTTGAATGCACAAGCGACAATAAGATATCTGTCCATCATTGAATGCAAGGGAGAACTTTACCCCAAACTGACTATTTGAAAGTCTCTCTCCTGGTCCCTACTGTATGGGAGTAGAAGCTAGGAACCCAATTTCACATTAGACCTGCTATTGTGGATATGATGCAATAGGTGGGTCCACTGCAGGATTTGGGATGGTGCCCAGATGCAGGGGTCTGTGCTCATGGATCCAATTGCAGGATCAGGGTCTAAATGAAGATGTACCATGATGGGGGATGGCAAGAGGGAGAGGTGATCACAGAAGAAAAGAGAATAACAGGGCTGTGATGCCTAGCACACCTTAATATCTGAGCATCAAACAGTTTAATACAAAAACTGGACAGGTTGGACAAGTGGGCGGAAAACAACAGAATGCAGTTCAACAAGGAGAAATGCAAAGTGCTGCACCTAGGGAGGAAAAATGTCCAGCACACCTACAGCCTAGGGAATGACCTGCTGGGTGGCACGGAAGTGGAAAGGGATCTCGGAGTCCTAGTGGACTCCAAGATGAACGTGAGTCGGCAGTGTGACGAAGCCATCAGAAAAGCTAATGGCACTTTATCGTGCGTCAGCAGATGCATGACGAACAGATCCAAGGAGGTGATACTTCCCCTCTATCGGGCGCTGGTCAGACCGCAGTTGGAGTACTGCGTGCAATTCTGGGCGCCGCACTTCAAGAAGGATGCGGATAACCTGGAGAGGGTCCAGAGAAAGGCCACTCGTATGGTTAAAGGGCCTGAAGACCAAACCCTACGAGGAGAGACTAGAGAACCTGGACCTCTTCAGTCTCCGCAAGAGGAGGTTGAGAGGTGACCTTGTGGCTGCCTATAAATTCATCACGGGGGCACAGAAAGGAATTGGTGAGGTTTTACTCACCAAGGCACCCCCGGGGGTTACAAGAAATAATGGCCACAAGCTAGCAGAGAGCAGATTTAGACTGGACATTAGGAAGAATTCTTCACAGTTCGAGTGGCCAAGGTCTGGAAGGGGCTCCCAAGGGAGGTGGTGCTCTCCCCTACCCTGGGGGTCTTCAAGAGGAGGTTAGATAGGCATCTAGCTGGGGTCATCTGAACCCAGCACTTTTTCCTGCCTTTGCAGGGGGTCGGAGTCGATGATCTATTGAGGTCCCTTCCAACCCTAATGAAAAAAAAAAAAAAATCCCCAGGGCTGAGGTGATTAGAAAGAGTCAGCATGTATTCACCAAGGACAAGTCATGCCTGACCAGTCTGATTGCCTTCTATGATCAGATGACTAGTTCTGTGAATACAGGGAGACCAGTGGATGTTGTAAATGTTGAATTTAGCAAGTCTTTTGATATGTTCTCCCACAACATTCTTGCAGGCAAGATAAGGAAGTATGGGCTGGATGAATGGACTGTAAGGTGGACAGGAGACTGGAAGGAGTATCAGGTAGTAATTAATGGTTCAATGTTTAGTTGGCATCTGGTATCAAGTGGAGTGCCTCAGGGGTTGGTCCTGGGGCTGATTTTATTCAATATCTCCATCAGCACCCTCGAGAATGGCACAGAGTGCACCCCAGCAAATTTGCAGATGGCATCAAGCTGTGGGAAGTAGTAAATACACTTGAGGGTAGGGCTAGGACTCAGACTGAACCCAACAAATTGAAGGATTGGGTCCAAAGAAATGTCATGAGGTTCAACAAGGATAAATGCAAAGTCCTGCACTTAGGACAGAGCAACCCCATGTGCTGGTACAGGTTAGGGGCTGACTGGCTGGGCAGCAGCTCTGCAGAAGAGGGCCTGGGGGTGACAGTGGACAAGAAGCTGAATGAGCCAACAATGTGCCCTTTTTGTGAAAAAGGCTAATGGCATAATGGGCTGCATTGGTAGGAGCATTGCCAGCAGATCAAAGGAAGTGATCCCCCTCTATTCAGCACTGGTGAGGCCACATCTGGAGTCCCGTGTCCAGTTTTGAGCCCTGCACTACAGAAAGGAAATGAACAAATTGGAACGAGTCCAGTGGAGGGCAAGGAAAATGGTTTGGGGGTTGGGCTACATGAATTGTGAGAAGAGGCTGAGGCAACTGGGCTGATTTAATCTGTTGGAGAGAAGACTGAGGGGGGATTTCATAGAATCATAGAAGTAGGGTCGGAAGGGACCTTGTAGATCTTCAAGTCTGACCCCCTGCCTGGGCAGGAAGAAAAGTGGGCTCAGTGAGTAGATTTAACTTGGCGAGGGAGTCTTGGGAAAAAGACTAAATGACTCCCCCATTTAATAGAGAAGAGTGCAAGCACCCTACAGGAAGTTGAAGGCTGCTATTAAATTCCCCTCAGTCTTCTCTTCCCTAACCTAAATAAGCCCAGTTCTTTCAGTCACTCCTCACAATTCCTGTCCCCCAGCCCCCAACCATCTTTGCTGCCTGCCCCC